TTATACAAATATCCAAATACCCAATACATTACAACACAATGCAAAATGCATTAGTTTGCACTACTAGATAACACTTAGCTACTATGCTGTAACATCATATACGTATGCAGCACAAATCTCTGCTTAATAAAATAGACACTTTGATGCAAACTTAAATTAATCTAACAAATGGAGCTAATAAATAACATTGTGCATGAAAGCATTATTCAATCGANCAACGGATTATAAGGCTAGTTCGAAAAGATTCGAAAAACGTGTTAACTGTACTAAGCGTTCGATTTACAATTTTGTTGTTTTATTTGATTTATTTTCTTGAGAAAGGTCTTTTAACAAGACCGAAAACGTTAGAAAGTTTCTCTTATAAACTTCGGCTGCAAGAAAAGGTGTTTGAGTAAGTGTTTTGATAACAAAGGAAGTGTTAATATAAAGCGGCATGCAAGATTTAAGTGCGGTTTTTTGCGTTTTTGCGGGTCCTTGCAGCTAGATTCTAGATTACTTAGAAAAACAGTCTTTTATATATATAAAAAACTATATTACATACAAATAAAAATCCAGCGAAGCGGGTCCTTGCAGCTAGTACAAAATAAATATGCCAACTATTTTTGCAATTCTCGACGTTCACTGACTCCTAAGTCGAAAATGGTAAAAATCTAGAATGGGTGGATTTTGTGGCAGGATTTTGTTTAGCTATTTCGAGTCTTAATTACTTTTATGCCTTTTGTCAATAATCTATGAAATTCTGCAGTAAAGTTTGTATATTAGGCAAATTTATAATGTTAATTTTTGATGAATGAAGATCAATGGTTTGGAAAAATAGAATGACTCGTGTGCCATATCTGAAGTGGAATCAGACTTAAAAAAGATTTTACTTGTTATTGAATTAAAACGTAAAAAACTGAATTAAAAAATGGCATCATAGGCGAACAATTGTCCTGACAACAACATCTGAATAAAGTAAATTCTATCAACTTAGAAAAATTAGGCGTATATACTTTCAAATGTAATAATTCCTTACTACTCTTTTAAAGTCTTTTTTTTCGACCTGTAGGCAATTACTGTACTTTTTTCGAAACCTATCGTAAGTTTACTTGTGGATATCGGTAGTCTTCTCGCATTAGGATGTGCGATGGTGATAATCGAAACCGATTGTCCTTGAAATCAAGATTTCGCTAATTAAAAAAGCCGCCTTGGTTATGGCTTACGCGAGAACTTCGATCTATGACACAGTTAAATATAAAATCAAAGTAACATTTAATAGTAAATTAGATTTATCGTGTAAATCTAATAAACGGAAAGGCAGATGTTTATCTAATTCAGCATCTCGCCTTGCCTTTCTCTGATTCAGAGAATATTGAAGTTCTGTTTTAATGAAAAGTTACTCAGAGTATAATCTCATGAGGAGCAAACCCGATTGGTAGTCGTATTTTTTATATAAGAGATATGGCACTTTCACTGAGGGCTGCTTCACGTCATCCCACAGCCGAAGTTAGCTATACCATAACCCAAGGTTAATAAACATATTGCTTATATAAAAGGAAATTGTCCTGCTTCTATTCTCCTGAATCGACACGAACCCTCCGCCACTCGAAAAATAATTAACCCTCCTATTCGAACGTTTCATTAAGCATAGAGAAAATAACTGCGAGTTAGGGAGTAAATTTTGAATTACCCTAGCTGGTGTCAGGACTAAAGTACACTGAGGTCGCTTGATCTTTACTCTTCCTTATGTTTATTTAAACATTTCATAGCCATCCAATACAGTGGACAGATTCTTACAGAACCCGATCGCAAACTTACTAATTTACAGAACATCTATTCATTGAGAATTTCAAAGTAATTTACAGGAAGTGAGAAAGTAAATAAGATTAAATTTATATAAACAAAGTCATAATCATCTCCAGCATTATTGGAATTCTTAGAAAAGAAGTCATTTCGAAAAAGTCATACTTAATATTTTGATTACTGTTTTACTTATTACATTTACTATAACACTTCTATTTCCTTTTATTCATAGTTATTTTCTTATTAAACTTAATTAGTATTTACTTATTTATATAATACATTAATTATTTATCCGAAATGAAATTAATTTACTTGTTTAACAAAAAAATATTTTATACAACAGTTAACAAGATTTTCTCAATCTAAATTATATTTAGGAGTCCTTTTCGGATTGACATATGGTTTATGTAACGCCGCAGGTATACTATCACCATACATTGCTGGAATTATATTAGAGAAACATGTAAGTTAAATGTTATTAAAATTTATATATATAAATTATTATTAAATTGATTTATTAATTTTTAATTATTCAGCAAGGAGAATTGGTTCAATGGAGCTACGTGTTCTATATGGTCTCTTTCGCTTATTTTCTCAGTGGTGTAATATTTCTGTTCGGAGCTACTGCGGAACTTCAACCCTGGGCTACCATTAATACAGACAAGAAAAAACACGATAATAATTAATTGTCAACATTAGTCCAATCTTTGTAATGATGAAGACTTTGCTCATAAAATCATTAGAATCAAAAGCATGCAGAATTGGTTATCCATGTTATACTACCACCATCCTTGTCACGCCTTTGCTATTAATTTCCTATGCACATGATTCTTCAAAAAGTTATTTCGTCTGATTTTCAATTGCCAAGTCATATTAGAACGCTTATAATAGTTCTTAACATAAAAGCAGAATTCATACTGTAACAAGTTAATCGATTATGTGTTACACCAAATCGATTATAGCTACTGTATATTTGTTTGGTTTAGAAAAAATAAAAATGATATGTCAAGAATATATCTTTGTTATCATTAAAAATTGCAACATTTTACGTTAAATGGGGAGAATTTCACGCTAATTGCTCTCTTATAAAGCGATGTTTAGATGTCACTCTATTAGTACACTTACTGTTGTTCTAACAAATAATTTCGCAGCTATCTACAAAATTAAAAATAAATTCTAAAATGAAAAACTCTGCGCAGAATGTTGTATATTTATAAAAGTTATTTTCCAAATTATAATGTGTTTCCAGATCGAAACACAATTCACGTACAGTGCGATGTAGCATCACATTAAAAACTCGAAATCTTAAAAATCTTAACGAATAAATTAGATGAATTTAAAAACAAATTTATAAGTTGATTATTTAATGATTTCATGTTTATTTCATAGAATATAAAAATAAAAGATTTCTATTGTTAGTTTAGTAATTCAGATTTTACTACGGTTAACACTTTAATTGTTGCGATTTGCGAAGGTTTGAGAAAAGATATCAGTGCGAATATTGCTGAAGCAGTTAATGTGTACGTAATTTTTAAATTTATTTTGATCTTCATTCAAGTATCAAGCGATGCTAGAGGAATTTCATTGATCTGGATTTGACAATATTTATCCAGTGGACGAATGGAAGGATGCAGAAGTTCCAATTCGATCCGAGAGGCAGAATGAAATTAAAGATTTCATCATAAAATACCCGATTATGTCTAAATTACTAAATATTACTACAAAAAAGACCTTCGATGAGGTTTTACCAAAAGTTATTATTCAAGCTAAATCCAAAAGAAAATACGAAGACAGAAGGCCGAATACCGTCCAAAATTCCTTCTGTTCCATTTATCTTTCACATTGAACCAAGTTACAAGAAAAAGTCATTAACACACCTGAGAAAGAATCGGAAGATAAAATAAAACTACAATAGATTGGAAAAAATGAAAAAGTTTGAAATATTTATACAACAAATATAAATATACGAACTCTTCGAATTATTCTTCATAATATCAATGTATTATAGGGAAGAATTCGTATCAAAATATCCATGGTTTAGAGAACATCGAGTATTAATCCATATGATTGGTTTCACAACAACGTTTATGACCATCGCTCTGGTAATCATTATGATAAAATTAATTCCTGCACGAAAACGAGTGTTGCATTATTAAAAATAAACTGATTTCCAGAGACTCAGCATGAAAAAATGACATTGATTTGAAGAAACCATTACTAAACACTCACGAAGAATCTGATATATAAAAATTCAAGATTTTCTCGTTCAAACAAATATTAAGTGGTTAATTTCAAGTATTGAATTGCAGATTATATCATGGCCAAATTGAAATATTTATGTTGTCGATAATGTAATCTTATATGATTCTGTTGTAGGGTTTCAAACATTGGTTAATTTGTGGATTGATTATTTAGATGAACATAATTTTGAATTTAAATTTGAATAAGTCTAAAGATTTCATTTTCAGTATAGGTGTTAAAAATACGCTGGTGCATAGAAGGAGGGTTCCTCAATTGATGTCACTTTTGATTACCAATAAATAGGTGTTATTTTTTCGGCTAATGGCTCATTTCGGTTGCACAACTCTAATATAAAGATTCATGCTAGATTATTGACGAGTAAAATTATTTAATTGGTTACGAAACTTTTTACGGTAAATCAAGATTACATGGTGGAAAAAATTCTGATAGCTGTGAATGTGAAAATACATTTTACCGGTATTTCCCATTTTCCGTTCGAAATCACTATCTGTTCCTTAGAAGTGTGGATTAGTTGTTGTAGAATATATTGGTAATACATTTACCAAAATTTCCTGTTATTTTTGATCGAATACTAGTTTGACTCGTTATTCATACTTACAAAGTATTATATATAAGGTTATTGCTGATCTCATATAATAACTTTAGATTCTCCAGGCTGAAGTAAACATGTAAAAATTCTGTAATTCATTAATAAAAACATTTGGTTTACTTACTTTTATAGTTTTACTTTTTTTAAAAACATTAATTTTCAGCTAAGTATTTTAAAACCTTTCACTTTACGTCTGATGCCTTGAGATAAATTACAAGTAATAAATTTAAATCAAAATAGAAATAATAAAACGGAAATAATACGTAATTGTGTAAATGATAACAAAATAGATAACTTTCTTAAAATAATAAAATGAATAGATATAAAAAATAAATTTTGCATTTACTTGATAAAAAATTAAGACTGCTCGACGTTTAAACAGTAGTAAGTTAGCTATGGCATTGAAAAGTAAGTATATTTTTTAAAGAAATATACGTTGACTCGTTATAATTTCACATTTTGAATTAAATAGATTAATTTTTATTTATATTATGTAATTATATTGTTATTCACAGTACGTTACTTATTGCAGTTTGTAGGTTAATTAATAACAGATTATGAGTTCGTGCCTGACCAACGGGTTGGCTACGTGCAGTTTCTCGTATTTTCTTCACGTGTCTAATATCTAAATAGGGAAATTTCCCATAGAAGAAATAATTTCAGATTTGTTAAATATTGAAATGTCTCTAATTTTACTATATTAATATTGCGTAAAAAAAGGATAATAGTAGTCATTTCTATATCTTTTACTATGGAAACTTTTGTTAATTTTAGTAAACATTTTATAATGTAGCTGAATATTTATAATTTTATCGCGCAAATACAAAGGGTTCTTCTATCTTTAAAATAAATGAAAATCAACTTATGCAGTTATCGGAAAATGTTCTGTAATTATTACAAAACATTTTCCATACAAAAACTGGATAATATCAATAAAAGATAAGTCTTTTTGACTTTGGAGAAAATCTCGTGTAAAAAAATTAGTGATTATTTTGATTTAATACAGAAAAATCTTAATTATTAGAAATTATTTACGTTGCAGAAAGTGTTCCAGCACGTTATGTACTAGTATTATTTATCTTCCTGACGTCAATGGTACTGAAAAGTCAGAGAGCGATGATGAACGTAGCAATTTTATCCATGGTCAATCACTCGGCGATATTTATTATGCAAAACGAAACACATTCTGACGAATGTCCCGGAGGTAACGAAGAAAATGTCACATATACCTATATGGAGGTAGGTTATGCTAGTTAATTATATCATGTACATGATATATGCATTAATTTTATGCTTTGTCGTTATCTATTGCAATTTGATTTTTTCTTTTTTTTTGGTAATTTCTAATTTATATTTAGATTTTTTCAGTCAAGTATAGTTTATAAGTAATCAAATTTTTAAGGGTTTCCTAATATTCTTAATATTTTAAGGTTTATATTGAGTTTAGTCATGAAATAACTTAGTCTTACTTTATTCACAGTACAGTCAAACCTCGGTTTTCGAACGAATCTGTTCACGAACAGAATTTCGAAGAGATAATTGCATCGGTTATCGAACAAGAAATTCGACGAGAGAAAAATTTGTTTATTTTAATTTTTAATTAAAAATTAAAAATTCAACTTTTTGAAAAGAATTATGTTCGAAAACCCAGGTTTCACTGTATATAATATAAAAAAACTGTAAAGTGTTACCAGACAAAAGGAACAGCATTGCTAGTTGTCCCGGCTGGTTATTTATTGATTCACCCTTATATAATAGATATTGAATATTCATTTAATGTGTTAAGGTTATTGTAAATAAAATATATTTGCAGGGAACTCATGTCTGGACACAGTCGACTCAAGGTATTATTCTTGGAAGTTATTTTTATGGTTACGTCTTTGCACAAGTGGTCGGTGGTTACGTGACATTCTTATTAGGTCCCAAAAACGTTTTCATAGCTACTGCCTTAATTTCATCTATATTTGTATTATTAACTCCAACCACCACAAATTACGGTGTTGCAATTGTATCATTAGTGCAAACTATAATAGGCTTATCACAGGTAACATTTAGTTTATATTCTTATATTTTTTGTGCTATACAGTAAAATTGACAAACTTTTACGTTGTAGGGTTTATTTTATCCTGCATCATATACTATCTTAGCTAGATGGAGTCCCGTAAATGAAAAGTCAAGATTCGTTTCTATATGTGCTAGTGGAAACCAAGTTGGCTCAATCACAGGAATGATCGTAACTGGTTACCTCTGCCAATATGGATTTGCCGGAGGATGGCCATCCAGTTTTTATGTTTTTGGTAAAAATAAAATTGTTTAATTATCATAATTATTTTCATTATAAATATTTAAACATTTCTAGGAACTTACGGAATATTCATATCACTGCTGCTATGGTTTGTAGTTTATGAAAGACCACAAGAACATCCAAGGATATCTTCTACGGAATTAATGCATTTAGAAGAAAATGTGTCGAATTTATCTTCTCGAGAAACTGTAATTATGTTTTTATTTGACAGATTTTTGTACAGTAGAACCTCGATTTTCCGACCCCCGATTAACCGACCGTTCTAGTCGGCAAATTTCAAATGTCCGCTAGCGATGTGGCGCTACAATATTTGGCTATGTCTTGGCTACTTTAATATTATTTTTACGTGTTTTAGCTGGCAACACTGGATCGACCATAAAAGGGAGCCAGTATTTAAACGAGGCTTAAATTTCTAATTTTTAACGATACAATAGCGACGATTATTATTTAAAAAATTTTTGTTAGGCTTAACATCGATGAAAATTCAACGCGAAGTAGGTTAATAGCGATATACTAATATACTAATTACATGGCATATAATAATATACTACACTAATAATGTATTTTTTCATACTTTTCGGTTATCCGACTTTTCAATTATCTGACCAACCCTAGTCCCCAATTGAGTCGGATAATCGAGGCTCTACTGTATTTAAAAACTGACAGAAAGTCTACGTTTTAATTTGAACGATTTATTAAAGCCGAATGACTAGATATATAAATATGTTAAAATTTGCATTTAAAGCCATTTATATTCATATGTTTATCTTGAATTTTAATCAGTCTTAATCGTCTTCAGTCTTATATAATATTTCATTATATACATTCAAGAGTGTCCGCAGAAATAGCGTAGATTTAAAAGAGGGTTCCGGCTCTTTACTTAAAGTCGCGTTCAGATTAGAGTACTGGGCCACCATATTGTAATCTAAATCGTTCATGTTAGCGGCCATACTACAATTGGGAAGAATGTCGTTATCCCCGACGACCAGCAATTTTCATTTCTTGTAGTTTACACTGAGTACAACAATCTAGTTATCATTACTAATCCCAAATGAACAAACATTATAATTTAAATGACTTTAAATGCTGATTTGAATTTTTATTTCACTAAAATATATATACAACTCCTAGTTAAAACACGATTAAATACTTTAATGCAGTGGTTCCCAACCTTTTTTCATTAGCGTACCCCGTGACATGTCATATCTCTAGATTGTACCCCTTGACATGTCATATCTCTAGATTGTACCCCTCATTTAAGAAATTTAGTGAGTAATCGTATTGTTAATTTTACACATTGTAACTTTAAATTAAAGAAAAAAAAAAAACTAAAAGAAAAAATGTATAATAAAGTTGTGATTGTTGCAAGGAACATTTTTTATCTAATAATTTTTTAATACTATTAGTTTGTGATACATAATATATTATTTTTTCTGCCATAATAACTAACTTTTTTCTGTACCCCTAAACAACCTATCGCGTACCCCTAGGGGTACGCGTACCACAGGTTGGGAATCGCTGCTTTAATGGATAGTTTTTTGAGCCACCCTGTATAAGCGTGTATATTTTAAAAGTTGATTTTTATATCAAAACAGAAATTGCGTATACCTTGGAAGAAAATTTTACTTTCCAGAGTGTTATGGGTTATTGCAGTAACAAAAATATGTTGGGGCTGTGGATTTTATACTTTATTGGCTAAACTACCATCGTATTTAAAAATTATGCTTCATTTTCCTATACAACAGGTAAAATTTATAATATTAGTTAATATTAATACAATTTAAGAAGGAAAAATTCAAACTTTAATCTTTCAGAATGGTTTGATCAATGCTTTAGTTTACTTTTCGGATGCTATAACAATATTTCTCTCTGGATTTATTGCCGATTTTATAAGAAAACGACAATATTTTAGTTTAACTAACACCAGAAAAATTCTTGAAAGCATTGGTAAGTATAAAATAACATCTTTGAATCTTTAATGAATCCTAAAGACGTATTAAAATATATTTAAAAAATATATAAAAAGTACATAAACTTATGTTATTAATTTTTATTTGTTAGGTATGTTTGGCCCAGCATTCTGTATTTTATCAGTTCCATTTTTAGGGTGCGACAGCACTAAAGCTATTATATCACTGACTCTTGCGATGGGATGCTTTGGTTTCTGCACTTCAGGAGATGCCGCCATAGTATTCGATTTGGCACCTGATTTTGCAGGTTTAAAACGATTTTATAGTCATATTATATGTATATTATTAAAAGACACTTCATAATACTTAAAGTATAGCATAGATTACAAGATCATGTAGAGTATAACTAGTTATCATGTATTACAGGAGTGTTATATGGCATCACAAGCGGTTTAGCTTCTATTCCAGGATTCATAACGCCTTATATAGCAGGCTTAATATTAGATAAGAATGTAAGTAATACGCTTAACTTACTCCAATTTATCCTATTTTTAATATTAATCAGGAATCATTCAACAGCAAGGAAGCCTTCTTCAATGGAGTTATGTCTTCTACATGGGATCTTCCTTTTATTTCGTTGGTGGAATAGTGTTTATTGTAGGAGCTTCTGCAGAATTACAAAGTTGGGCTATTCAGTCACCTAATAAAGATGAAAAAAGTTAAATATATTTTTAAAATAAATGTTATTTAAATGAATATTTGAATCGCGACTAAAAAAAATATTAAAGAATTAAATTTTTGTTCAATTTCATTACTTATAATTTATTAAAAATATAATTTTCCCGACCTTGATAATAGATTAAACTACTGAACATTGATGACAGGTTTCACCTAACCAGCAGACTTGCTACGTAGAGTTTGCCGAGTTTTCTTTAAATGTCTAACAAGTGTCAATTTCTCATAGAAACATAACTCTTGACAGATCGTTCATGTGTTGGATACCGTATGTGTTAGTTGCGTAGTTTAACACCACATTTCATTTTCTATGAATTTTAGAAGCAACAAATGATACTACTATTTAGAGGTTTTGTTTGAGTATATATATGTTACCGGCCAAACTAGTTTGTCCTAGGCAAAACTTGTTTATCCTACGCATGTCAGGATATACTAGTTTAGCCTACGATAATCTAGTTTAGGCTAAATACTTTAGACTTAACTAGTTTGACCTAGGCCGAACTTATTTATGTACTACAAATAGGTGCCAGTGTAAAAAAAAATGATTTTGTGTAATTCGAAATGCCACCACAGTACACTCGGTGGTTAAAGTGTACCTAGGTAACTGTGCTTCAGTTAGGTTGGTTTGGTTTAGTAGGTTGGTAGGTTTGTCTAGGCAGTGCTTCAGTTAGGTTGGTTTGGTTAAATTAACTACATTTTTAGTAGACGTTTCCTTTTTTTTCTTTTGTTCAAGAACTACCGTGAATCAATAACTAGTGACGTTAAACAATGGGCGGCCTGCCGGCAGCTTCCCTATGGGAGGAGTCTGCTGGGAGCACGAACAGTCCGAAGTGCCACTATTGGGGTTACCTAGGTACACTTTAACCCACCCTGTAAAAATAAATAAAAGATTAAATATTTCATATGTTACACTAAGAAGCACAAACAAGTTCATTTTTAATTTTAGTTTGACTTTAAAAGTTATTTTTATTATTTCGTTTGAATTTTTGAAAATATTTTCGAAAGTTAATTACCTTTAAAAGTGCATGGTTTAATAAAAAAATACAAACTGATAAGTACTGATTAGCTTATTTTTATTTTATACTTTTGTACAAGTGTTGTGTCACTTCTAATCAATACCGTTTTTTATAATTATGTAGACTATGTTTGAATAAATATTGTTCATCTAATTGATTGCCTTTTAATTTTATTTTAAACATTAATATACTTAAATCAGGCCTGGCCAACCTGAGACCCGTCACATTAAATTGAGTGACCTGCTAAGCGATATTATATATCTATTAAAACTTTCGTTTTCCGTTTTGTGTATACCAAAACAATTAAATAAATGAAAATTTGCATGTGTCATTGTTATAATTCGCAAGTGCGAATATGAACTCTTGGTATAACAATGAAATCTTATTCATTTTGTATTTGTTTTACTTTTTTAAAAGCATGTTTGTCTAAATTGTGGCCCATTGTAATGTTACGCGTGATCAAAGTGACCCGCGAAACAACTTGGGTTGGCCAGGCCTGACTTAAATAATAATTCTAAATCAGTTCGGCTAGGACAAACTAGTTAAGCCTATAGCATTTAGGCCAAACTAGATTGTCTTTGGCTAATCTAGTATATCCTGACACGCATAGGATACACTAGTCTGGACTGAAATCGGGTTTGGCCGGTAACATATACACAAACCTATGCAGTACACACATATGTATATAAGGAAAAGTTGGCGAATGTGTACTGATCTTATCATACTCTATGTTTTTTTTTTTGCGGTGATTTGGCACAGCCCCTGATGACAAAATTAGTATTTAAGTTTGCTGCCTGTATTATAGAAACAGTATTAAATTCAAAAGTTTTTTATATGCGTTATTCAAATTGGAATTTAAGATCAGTGTCTTGTAATATAAACTTTTTATCAATTTTAAATAAACAATGTCATTTACTAGTACAGTCGACCCCCCTATAACGCGGTAAATACGTTCCATTTTATACGAATTTTGCGTTGGAATCCTTAAATACAAGAGCCAATCACAGCCCGACACGTGTTCAGTTTAAGGACTACCGCTGATTGAAAGGTTTCCTTTCATAAAATTAATGGATTCTAGACTAATTTCACTCAACATTTCCAAAACACGTATAATTTTTTTGAGAATAATCCGTATAAACTATGCTATAAACAAAAAATTGTAGGATTACTTACCGAGGGTGCACCGTTCGACCACGCCATTGCTTAAGCTTGTTTTCATCGCGGAGCAACAAACGGCGGGCACGTTTTCTGATAAGTTATTTTTCTGCGAAAAATTCGTTGAACTTTGGAGACATCATTAATATAAATAATTTTATGGCTGTTGAATAAGAAATGTTTCTTTCACAAGAAATGTATAGAATTACAGTACTGTATTAGACTTACAGTACCTAATTTATATACTGTACAGACGATAGTAAACTCGACTTACCCGCCTAAACTCTCCTTAGTGTGTAAGTAGTTCAGCTGCTCGTCCACTATTGGTCCATATTCGACCAATCCTGTCGCGACACGAGTCCGCGATGACGATTCACCATATATTACTAGTCTCTTTTAGCGTCTTTATATGAATACGATCGCAATTTTTTCGCCGCGATATACGAATCCGCATTATATGAACCCGCTTTATAGGGGTCTACTGTATAATTATATATTTAAATATCTAAATTTACAATATTTTGCGCAGAATTTTAATTTTAGAAATTTATTTATAATTTAGTAGAGAGTTGCAAAATTATTTGCTACAAGAACAGAAAGTGTAGTAATAGAGTAACATCTAAACACCGCTCTGTAAGAGAGAAATTAGCTAAAACTTCTGATTTAATGTAATTTGTTGCAATTTTTCTAACGAAAAACATATTTCACCTTATAAATAAAGAAGCCAGAGATTTATTTTCTCTTTTGCCACAGGTAGAGCATGAAGTCCTACGTTCTTTAAAAAATTTTTGTCTCCAGCTGAATAAGTTTTTTCCTTGATTTACGTTGAAACGTTCATTTCTTTGGCAATTCTCTAAAAGTTTTAAGTATTTTGTTTCGCGAATATTTAAAGAATTTCGCATAAAGAAACGAAAATTTTGCAACAACATATTGCTTAATATTAACAAAGACATATTCTTGACGTATCCTGTTTATTTTTCAAAATCCAAACAAATATAATTTACAGTAGCTATAATCGATTTAGTGTAACACATAATCGATTAACTTGTTACAGTATGAATTCTGCTTTTATGTTAAGAACTATTATAAGCGTTCTAATATGACTTGGCAATTGAAAATCAGACAAAATAACTTTTTGAAGAATCATGTGCATAAGAAATTAATAGCAAAGGCATGACAAGGATGGTGGTAGTATAACATGGATAACCAATTCTGCATGCTTTTGATTCTAATGATTTTATGAGCAAAGTCTTCATCATTACAAAGATTGGACTAATGTTGACAATTAATTATTATCGTGTTTTTTCTTGTCTGTATTAATGGTAGCCCAGGGTTGAAGTTCCGCAGTAGCTCCGAACAGAAATATTACACCACTGAGAAAATAAGCGAAAGAGACCATATAGAACACGTAGCTCCATTGAACCAATTCTCCTTGCTGAATAATTAAAAATTAATAAACCAATTTAATAATAATTTATATATATAAATTTTAATAACATTTAACTTACATGTTTCTCTAATATAATTCCAGCAATGTATGGTGATAGTATACCTGCGGCGTTACATAAACCATATGTCAATCCGAAAAGGACTCCTAAATATAATTTAGATTGAGAAAATCTTGTTAACTGTTGTATAAAATATTTTTTGTTAAAAAAGTAAATTAATTTCCTTTAATTTACATAATTAATTAAACAGGGAATCCTGTTCTAAGGATATAAAAAAGTCAGAAAAACATCTGTCAGCTGATAAATAAAGATTGTTTTTCTGACTATGTTTACTTAATTTGCAAAACCAGTTATCCAGTATAATAACTCCTAATAATAGATATGTTCTAGTTGACGATTTAAGTTTAAATTAATAAATTGAGAACACAACAATATTTAAATAAAATTAGAATTAAAGTTAACAATGTGTATAAAAACGTAGAAAGAAAAATTTTCGAACGTATTTCATATTTTAATTTAAACATTTTTTTCATAAACTTTAATTTTGTCAGAGTTCTTCAAAAATATCTTTCTCATTTAAGTGTATTGTAAAAATAATACCGTAGCAGGTTTTAGTTTAATAAAATGTTTCGAATCTTAACTTAAATACAATAGAAAGCAAAAAGCTTAGCTGTTGATAAGAATTGAGGAGAGAAAATGTTAGATGTTCAGGATCGGTTGTTGTAATGCATAATGTATAATATTTTCATATAAACACATTTACTAGAAATTACCAGAACAACACGTGAATTCAATTAACTTTTAAACGCAATATTAAGAATACGATTTCGTATTTCTGAACATAATAAACTTTTCATATCTTTTCAAATTTCAAGTCATTGTATAAGAGTCATTCATAGTACTCTACTGTATTTGAAAACGTAAGAAGTAAATTCAATCTAAATGAGATAATTTCTGCTCCCTTTGATTTCGAGTTTTAAAATGTTGGAAATTAGAACGTGGACCAAACATATAATTGGACGAAATATTAATCGATCAATCACAGAATATAATTTAAAAGTTTCCAATTTTCACAGACAACATTCTAGCCCCATCTTACAACAGGAAATGTCAAACATAGAAAAGAGAGAGAAATAAATTCACCAAACGAAAACTTCCAATTAATACTATACAGCTATTTTAATGTTTGTTCATTGTTTGGAATTGTTAGTTGTATTTAAAAAACTTTATTTAAATATCATATTTCATCTCAATGACGGATGCCCTTCCTTTATTAGCGTTTACAATTTTTTATAATACCCCTAATACTCTAAAAATTAAGATTTTTGCTATTTTATAATAACTAGTAATATAAAATATTTTAAAATAAATGATCATAACAGATGGCGCCACACGCAGTTTTAAATTTTGCCCGGTGTGTTCAGCAACTCGTTGCTGTATTTTATATCTATTGTGTGTTCATTCGGGATTAAATCTGTTTTTTTCTTCTTTATCCTATGTACTGATCTACCCGGAATGGCTATATCTTACTATAAATATTAATAAATTGCGTTTAAAAGAAATAATAAGGATCTGTTTCAACTTTAACTCTAAAATCATATGCACAAACATACTTCAGAGATTATTATTTCATCGGTTTTCTAATGATACAGAATGTTTTTAACTTCATCCATTCTGACTGTCCGCAAACAATTATTAATTCTAACAGAAACATATGTTTGCATTCACCATTCGAATTGAACAATACAAAATGCAAGACCGATTTTCCGGATTACCCGGTTCTGGCACCTAATTTGTTTACAACTAACAGACCACAGACATTCTCACACGTCTTTTTTGGATAATATCCGAGGATTATTCGAGTAAATACATTGTTTTTGTCTTATACTTAAGAAACAATGTTCACTTACCCGCAAATTCCGGAGCCAAATCCAGTACTATTGCAATATCTCCCGAAACAGCGAAGCCAAAACATCCCATTCCAATTATTACACAAATAATTATTTTTGTACTCTCGCAGCCTAGAAATGAAATCGATAAGATGCATGCTGCCGGGCCGAACGTTGCTACAACACAAATATTTATTCATCATTTGTCAGAAATTTTACAAGACAATTTAAAAAAATTAACAAACTACAGTTTCTTACCAATTGCTTCAAAGATTTTTCTGATATTAGTTATGCTGAAGTATTTACGTGATTTTATAAAATCAGCAATGAAACCCGTAGTAAATAATGCTATAGT